CCTGGACGGATTCTGTAGTAGCATGAAGTGCCTGCAGTACCTCAATCTACGGTAGGTCCTCCCTGCTCTCTGTCAGGACCAGAAACTCCTTCACCAGGCTGTACTCCCAGTTAGGTCTTTAGGATTTTCTGGTTCCTTTGGAAGTTGAAGACCTGATGGGAATGGGTTGATCTTTACCGTCCTTAATTGGTGTCCAGTGCTCAGCTGTCTAGGAGTATAACAGCCAGGACCTTTCCTGGGCTTCTCAGGAAACAGCTACCTCTTCAGTCATTCTCAGACCCCACCTCATACTTTTTATTCCTTTAATAAAAAGGAATCCTCTGGATCCCTCTCTGCATGTTCTCTGTGTCCTGGACATGATGCAAGCGCCCTTTACTTTTCGGCATTTGCCATACAAGGGCGATGGTGGTATCAGATAATTCAATGGACTGTTTGAGCACACTTTTTGAGAGAAATCCAGAGATGTCCTTTTTGTCCCTCAGTCTGGGGAGCTGCAGACAGATCTGGATCTTAGATCACAGGTCTGTGGTCTGAGGTCTACGGTCTATCACGCTGCTAAGTTTTGCTTTGTCTGCCTTGTCAGCTTACTGTTCTGAAGGGACCTCACTACTCCTATGTGTCTCTTTCCCCTGCCCTCTGTGCTTCCTCTTCTTCAGGAACAATGGGATCAGCAGCCTTCAGGAGGTGGCAAAACTGCAGGTCCTCCCCATGCTGCAGGCACTGGTGCTGTTGGACAATCCATGCTCTGATGAACCCAATTACCGGCTGGAGGTCCTGGTCCTGCTGCCACACCTGCAACGCCTCGACAAGGAATTATTTGAGCAAGATGAGCGGGCAGAGGCAAACAAAATCTGTCAGAAAAGACAGGAAGAAGAAAAGGTGAGAACAGTACGGCAGGGGGAGGAGAAGGAAGCGAAGGGACAGAGAGAGGATCAAACATGCTGATCAGGCCTCTCCTCCTCTAGATTACATGAGGAGAAGGCTGAGGGAGGTCAGTCCCAAGGAGGAGCCTGAAACAGAGACAGGGCTTTGCAACCTGATTGTGATGGCCAGCATCGCAACCCTACTGCCATTCCCGGCCCCACTAGCAGAACTGAGCAGTGAAAGGGGAAAAGAAGTCAGGCGTGGAGTCATTTAACTTCTCCCTCTTTCCTTCTTCAGGAAATGGAGGGATCTCTCCAGGGTGATGTGAATGAGTGACCCCTGGTTTTAACGCCTGTTCCCAGAGCCAGTCAAGATTTGGAGATGGCCTTCCCCCACATGTGCAGTTGGGGAAGTGAGAGCTGCAGGTAGCAGAGCTACCTTCACCTCATTTTGCCCCTGGAGAAAAGAGGAGGGCTACCCACCTTGGCCCTGGAAGCCGCCCTGAGGTGCTGCAGTGTTTTTGCAATCACTGCGCTCATATGCTCCATTCTCAGTAGGCCCGAGAGGGAAAAGGGGAAAGGGGAGAGTTACAGGTTCTGTGGTTCGATTTATGGCTCCCAAAAATCCTACAAGATTTTTTGATTTGAATAAAGATAATTAATGAGCTGGGAGTGACTGGAACTGTTTATCCTGCACACCCACTCCTATTCCCTGTCTCTCTCACCCTCGTCTGTCTACGTCTATCCCCTGCCTGCCTGTCTCTCTCTCTCTCTCTCTCTCTCTCTCCATCCTCTACGTGCTGTTTGCAAAGCTTTGCTAAATCCTGACTCATCGCAGCTCTGGGTCACATGCTGCCGTCCCGGCCCTATCAGGGGCGTCTCCATCCTGCTGCCGCCGCCGCTGTTGGCTTAGAGGACACCATCTCCCCTTGAGGTCCTGCATCCCTCCTCAGCTTCGTCCTCTCTCCTTTCTACCAGCACTTTCTCAATCTCTCGTTCACCCCTGCCCTAAGAAGGTAAGTGTCTCCCCACGGCCAGCACCCCCTCACCGCATGCATGTTCCTGCTCCCCACCCTGTGCCCTCCAAACCCCACACGCACTTTGGGGTCCCTGCGGAGAAGGACCACGGTGAGCGGCATTAGCAACTAAACTCCCCTCACTTCCTCCCCCTGCTCCTCCCACCTCTTTCTCCTCACCCCCACCCTTCTCACTTTTCTTTCATATTTTAATTTCAGGTACTCCCTCCTTCCCTACCCCCGGCAAGCATCATTTCAGATGTGAACCTAGGGAGTTGCAGGAGGGGGGCAACCGACAAGGATAGGTGGTGCTCCCAAGGGCATTGCCGGGAGGTGCTGCGGGATGGAGCTTTACCTGGGGGAGGGGGGTGGTAGTGGGGAGGAGGCGAAGCTCAGTTTGGGCACTGCTGGGGAAAGGACCCAGCCTCAGAGCAGACCAGCCCCCCAGCCTCCCGAGGTGTTGACATAAACACAGGCGTTCAGCCGGGTCCCAAGGAGAGGGAGGGAGAGAGAGGGAGGGAGAGAGAGGGAGGGAGGGAGGGAGGGACGGAGGAGAGGGGATGTTTTCTTATCTGCACAGCCCCACACCACACGGGGGGGGAGCAGCAGGGAGAGGAGGTGACAGTCTAGCCAGCAATAGCTGCATCAGCCACGACACTGCAGCAGTGCGGGCTTCCTGGGAGCAGTGCCCAGCCCGGGGGAATCGCAGCCGCACACAGGACTGGTGGCGGTGGCTTGGGGGAAAGGTCTTCGCCATGCTGGCCTGCCTGGCGGGGAGGGGGAATTGCTGCGGCGTGAACTCCAGCGAGACGATGCCCTGGCGACACGCAGTGCCACGAAGCACTGCCCGCAGGAAGGCACTGCAGCAGTGCCAGTCTCCCGGGCTGCCCTGCCCAGCCCCTGTTCAAGCGAGGCTGCCCAGCCTCCAGCCTGGCTCCTCTCTCCTCCTCACTCTGGTCTACAGACTCCCGGCTATGGCTCCGTCCCAATCCCTTATCCCAGCTTATCCGCCTCTGACCTGCTTTCAGGACAGTGCAGCTGATGCCAGGGATTTCAGGGCGGTTCTTTGCGCTGTTCAAAGGAGGGCAAACGCAGGGGGACACAAGGCAGCAACACAAGTGGAGAAAGGAGTGTGAAGGACTAGGGGGGAGAAGAGATCGAATGAGTGATGAGGTGGGGCAGGCAAGGCTGGATTTGGGCTTCTCATTTGGCTTCCTCAGAGCTGGCCCCAACAGGGGCAGGTGGACGTGGGCAGAGGGATGTGACCACGGGCAACATGACCACATAAGCAGAGAGGCACTGCATCTGGCACGGGTCTTGCTGTCAAAGGTCACTTTAATGGGGTCCTGTTCCTCTCTTCCCTGTGGAGGCTGTTGGGGCATGGCCAGGGCACTGCTGCAAAGGAAGCTCACAGCTGCGGCGGCACGGCTCTGGAGGAAGTTCCCGCAGCGTGTGCCAGATGGCGTGAGGAGTGCTGCCAAAGCGGCTGATGGGGGATTCCAGCCCAGATGGACATGGTGAAGGGTCCTGTGCAGGCTCCAGAGAGCCCTGGTGTCGCTGACTGAAACTCCCCAGTATGGGAAGCTCTTGCTGGAACTTCAGAGCAGCGCGATTTCCTCACGCCTGTGCCATTTCCACCCACCCCAGGCAATGGGGTCGAGAGCTGACTCCGGCTTCCCCCAGCCTGCTTCTTAGCTCCCCTCAGTGCTGTGATGTGCTATTTGCAGCAACCCCCCCCACGGCACACACTCCCAACCTGTGCTGAGCCCCCCTGAGAGACGCTCACACGCACCATGCCGTGGTTCCGGCTGGGGCCCCATGGTTACCCCAGCCCCGGTCTCTGCACCGAGTTTTGCGTGGGTCTGGCCCTGCTCAGGGTTGAGTGAATCATCTGTGGGAGCCGGGGGAGGAAAACCTGGCGGGGCTGGGAGCGTGGGGTGACACACACCTCGCTGCTGCTACTCCCTCTCCAGGGGGGATGCGGCTCTCTGGCATCACACAGCCCTACAGCCAGGGGAATAAGAAGGTGGGATGGGGGGGCTGAGTTATTTTGGACTCCCTAGGGAGCAAACTTCATCAAGAGAAGCTCTTCCAAACAGCCGTCCTCACCCACAAGCCTGTTTTCCACTTCAGGTTTAACTAGGCGCATCCAAAACACCAGGTTTCCTCACCCTCCTCATCCGACAGATATGTCTCCCAGATTCATCCGCTTCCCCATGTCAGGAGCAGAGCGAAGGGTCAGGAGCTGGGCCCAGCCCCTGTGTTCAGGCAGGGCCAGGTCCCCCCTCCCTTCAGAGCCCTCTCTCCCACATCTGAGGCACCATGGCCTTCAGCAAGATGGCTCCTCGGGCTGCTGGCCTCCTCCACCCTCCCATCGCCTCAGCACAGCCTGACCTGGCGGCTCATGAGGGAGCTGGGAAGGCTAAGCCAGGCGTTTGGCCCGGGGGA